TTTTCCAATAAAAGATTTGTTTTTGCTTTTAGAAATGCCAAGAATTCAAACATTGTTATAATTTGAATACATTCACAAAGATATATTAATTTTGAAAATTCAGACATGAAAACTTACTATAGTTCTTACATGAATAAATTTGACTAATTTAAATAGCATAACAAGTCAAATTTCATCTTATTATTATTCAAACATACATATCATATATATTTTTTTTTTCTTCATATATTTTTACTATAAATTCTACAAATCAAGTATAAAGAAATATAAGGAAAAAAAAGAAGAGAAAAAGGAGAAAAATAAAATGTTATCAAACATTGCTCGTATAATTTCGTGTAGGTGGTTCATAATTTCTATATAAATGTTCAATGATTTGTCCTGCAATAATTTCATCTGTATTCTTTGCAATTATGTCAAATATAAGAAATCCATCTAAATGCATATACTCAGTAAAACCAGTAGCATCAATATCTCGATCATATTTTGGACTTTTTGATGTTGTTGACAATAAAGTTTCTCCTTCTGGTGAGAGTGATTGATTTACATTCAAATATCTTTTAGTTATTGATACACGACGTCCGCTAGTTAATGAAATAACCCAACCTATAATTGACAAAATATTTAATATTGTTAAAATTATTAACCAGAGCCATACACCCAAAAATATCTTATCATTATAGATATTTATTGGTAAATTACATTGAATTGCATACCAATGTTGATTAGAACCTAAATGTCGAATCATAAAGTCACACATGGTAACACGAGGAAATCTTGGTGATTCAAACCAATCATCACCACTAAATAATTTACTTAATGCTTCAACACCATAACCAGTAAAATGAAATGATAAAAATGAATTTAATAAGAAAAATTGAGCTAGAGTATTGATAGTATAGAGTATTTTGACAATAAAATATGTTAGTGTATAGCTAATATAAAAATTACGACAACGAACACCACAACATACTGATCCATGTAATGTATTTTGTGTATCAATGTATGTTTTTAATGTACGTTTGACAAAATCTACACCTTTTTCAGCATCTGGTTTATCTTTAATGGTTTGTACGAGTCGTCGAATATTGAAACCACCTTTTCGTGTAAATACATGCCAAATAAATTTAGGAAGAAG